GGACTAAAAGTCAATATTTTGGCCTTCATCTCAGCTAAATCACAGAAAATGAGGGAACAATGGAACACCTCTAAAAGGATCCTAGAGGTGCAGTGAGTTACCTGTCCTTGATCAGAGAGGCCATAAAGACCTCCTGACCTTAGACTCCAAACAGGAGGGTAAACACAGAGGAAAACATTGTCAGTACTCCTGAGGGAAACACGGTCAGCAAAATCATAACCCACCCCAGAAGATGACACAACTAAAAAAAGAAAACTAGAGATACAAAGGGGTCCAAATAAGTCCCTAAGGGTAACCCCCAGAAAACCTCAACTAACCTTAACAGTAAAAAGTGAAATGGACAATTTATGGCCATAAATGTTAAGTATGGCCAATGAACAAAACAGTTAACGATGCACAGAGAGAGAGAGTGAGTTTAAAATGGGACAACCCTGAGTATGGGCTTCTGTCAGGTAGGGCATGAATGTCACCCAACTAATGTAAAGATGAGTTTCTAGTAGTGTACACTCACTTTATCTGTTGTTTTTCTTTATCATTTTTCTTTGGGCACTATTGCCACTCTGTCTGTCTGTCTGTTTGTTTGTTTGTTCGTTTTTAGTTGTTTAAGAGATCATACTCTTGAGAGCAAGCTATAAAAGATGAATCTTCTGGGACAAACTTAAGCACAGATTTCCTTCCTCAAGCTCTTTCGGGGGCTTTTCATTACTCTTCTGTTGGTATAATGTTCTTTTAAAATGTATGCGCCTTACCCTTGTTAATTCAAATGCTGATTTCCCCACCCCCAACTCTCTGGTTTCAATCCGGATATGGCATTGTGATACTCATTATAAGCATCCTGTCTCAACTCTTGTGTAAACAGGACAAAATAAAGCAACTAGATACAGTGTTGTGCAATGGGAGCAGCCAGAGGACAGGAAAGAGGGGAGCAGCAAGAGAGCAGGAAAGGAGTGGGAGGAGAAGGGGCAAGAGGAGAGCGAGGAGAGCAGAGCTGGAGGAGAGATCTTGGAGGACGTGGAGCATGAACCAGACCAAAGATTTCACAAAAAGCAAGTATAATGTGGGAAATCTAAATGTTAGGAAACTGAGGGCTCGGAGGTTTAGGAGGGAGTAAATATTACCCAGCATTGTGTTCTAGGTTAACTAAAAACCCAGTCTCTGTGTGGTGATTTGGTTATACAGCTGCTGAGGATTAACAACAGCATTACTAGAAGATAAATCAATAGTAAATATTAAAAACTCCTACAACACTCTTCCCTGGACCTTATATTCTTAATCTTATAAAAATCTGTGTGTCTTCTAGGATATGTGACCCAAACTAAAATCCACATGGGACAAACAATTCCTACCAGAGGAAATCCAAAGTCTCCTCTAGTGTGACAGATGTAGTGTTGCATGCCTTTGATTCCAGCACTTCGGGAAACAGAAGCAGGCAGAACTCTGTGAGTTCAAGGCCAACGTGGCCTGCATAGTGAATTCTATGATAGCCATGACCATGTTAGAGAGAACTTGTCTCAGAAAAAAAGAAAACCAAATAAAAAACAGAAAAGAAACCTAAAAGATTTCTGAGACAACAGCCCTTACTGGGATTTGAAAGAGAGAATAGGCATGAAGGGAGAAAGCCTGAGAGCATTGTGAGAGACAGTGAAGAGAGCACTGTGACCAACAGTAGGCATGTGGAGAGAGCATTGTGACAGAGAGGTGGCATGTGGAGAGAGAGCATTGTGATGAACAGTAGGCTTGTGGAAAGAGCAATGTAACAGACTGAAGGCATGTGGAGAGAGAACACTGTGGCAGACAGTAGGCATGTGGAGAGAACACTGTGGCAGACAGTAGGCATGTGGAGAGAAAACACTGGGACAGACAGTAGGCATGTGGATGGAGCATTGTGACAGAGAGGTGGCATGTGGAGAGAGAACACTGGGACAGACAGCAGGCATGTGGAGAGAGAGAGAGCATTGTAGAAGACAGCAGGCATGTGGAGAGAGAACACTGGGACAGATAGCAGGCATATGGAGAGAGCATTGTGACAGTTGACATGTGGAGAGAGAACACTGGGACAGACAGTAGGCATGTGGATGGAGCATTGTGACAGACTGTAAGCATGTGGAGAGAGCACAGTGACAGAGAGAAGGCATGTGGACAGAGGATTGTGAGAAACAGTAGACATGCGGAGAGAGCATTGTGAGAGAAAGTAGGCAAGTAGAGAGAGCACTGTGAAAGACAGTAGGCATATGGAGAGAGAGAGAGCATTGTGACAGAGAGTAGGCATGGAGAGAGAGAGAGAGCATTGTGATAGAGAATAGGCATGTGGAGAGAGAGCATTGCTACAGAGAGTAGGATGGGCAGAGCACACAGTGACAGACAGTATCCATGTGGAGAATGCACTGTGAGAGACAGCAGGCACATGGAGAGAGCACTGTGACAGACAGTAGGCAGGTAGAGAGAGCTTTGTGACACACAGTAGGCATGTTGATAGAGAACATTGTGACATTTAGTAGGGATGTCGAGAGAGCATTGTGATAGACAGTAGGCATGTGGACAGAGCATTGTGAAGACTGTAGGCAGGTAGAGAGAGCATTGTCACAGAGAGTTGACATAGGGAGAGTGTTGTGACAGACAGTAGGCATGTGGAGAGAGCATTGTGACAGTCGGTATGCAGGTAGAGAGAGCATTGTGACACACAATAGGCATGTGGAGAGAGATCATTGTGACAGAGAGAAGGCATGTAGAAAGAGCATTCTGACAGAGGGTAGGCAGGGAGACTAGTCATTGTGACCTACAGTAGGCCTCTGGAGAGAGAGCACTGTGACAGACAGTAGGCATGTGGAGGGAGCATTGTGACAGATAGTAGGCAGGTAGACAGAGCATGGTGACAGATAGTAGGCGTGTGGAGAGAGCTTTGTAACACACAGTAGGCAGGTAGAGAGAACATTGTGTCAGAGAATATGTAAGTTGAGAGAGCATTGTGATGCTCAGTTGGCATGTGGTGAGAGAGCATTGTGACAGAGAATAGGCTGTGGAGAGAGCACTGTGACAGTAGGCATATGAAGAGAGCATTGTGACCAACAATAGGCAGCTAGAGAGAGCGTGTGACAGACAGTAGGCATTTAAAAAAAGCATTGTGAATGACAGTACCTCCTTGGAGAGAGAGCATTGTGACTGACAATAGTCATATTAAGAGAGAGAACTGTGACAGACAGTAGATTTGTGGAGAGAGGTAAGTGAGAGACAATAGGCATGTGGAGAGAGCATTGTGACAGACAGTAGGCATGTGGAAAGACAGCATTGTACCAACAATAGGCAGGTAGAGAGAGCATTGTGTCAGAGAGTAGGCATGTGTAGAGAGAGCACTGTGAGAGACAGTAGATTTGTGGAGAAAAGATAGTGAGAGACAGTAGGCCTGTGCAGCGAGCACTGTGACAGACAGGAGGAAGGTAGAGAGATCATTGTGACAGACAGTAGCCATGTGGAGAGAGCATTGTGACTAACAATAGGCAGGTGGCAGACTGTAGGCATGTGGAGAGAGTACATTGTGACAGACAGTAGGTTTGTGGAGAGAGGATTTTGAGAGACAGTAGGCATGTGGAGAGAGCATTCTGACAGAGAGTAGGCAGGTAGGCTGATTATTGTGACCAACAATAGGCATGTGGAGAGAGAGCATCTTGACAGAGAATAGGCAAGTGGAGAGATCAATGGCATGTAGATAGAACACTGTGACAGACAGTAGGCTTGTGGAGAGAGCATCCACACATTTATGATTAACATATGAATGGAACTGGTTGATAGAAAAAGAGTAGAAAGCTTTCTCCACCTGCTACATACAATGCAGAACATGCATCCAAAAAGGCCCAGTAGTACAAACCACAGGCATGGTGCTATGTGCACGACCCACAAAGAATCCTGCCTGCAGACCCAGTGCTTTGAACGTTTGCCTCTTTCCTGCTCACTAGCCCACTCCCATGTAAGGACTTCTTTTTTAATAACCTGTCTCTGATTCGATTACATTAAAAAGAGTAACAGTTAAGAGACACTATTTACTTTTACTGGGAAAATTGACAGGAATATGGCAATATTTGGGCCATTCCACCTTTTAGCTGTCAATGTAACACGAAGCAGAGAGCCAATTAAACAGTACAGTGGCCAAAGTGTGAGGAGTGGACAAAGCATGGCGTAGTCTTTTTATTATTATTATCATTATTCTGTTGTTGTTATTATTATCTTGGTTTTTCTGAGAGACAGAGTTTCTCTGTGTAGCCTCTGTGTGTGCTGGAACTCGCTCTGTAGACCAGGCTGACCTTGAACTCAGAGATCTACCTGCCTCTGTCTCCTGATTGCTGGAATTAAAGGTCTGGGCCACCAACCACCTGGCTGAGTAGTCTTAATCAAATAAAAAGTACCTAACTTCTAAGACACATTGTGAACCTATGATTTGCAATATGTTAAATCATTATTTATAACTGCTGAGCGGCACTCACCAAATGACCATGGGCCCGCGTGGTCAGTCCAGAGCCCAGGGTCCACTCCCCCAGTGTGTACGGGTGCTCTTCCGGTGTTACAGTTCTCTTAGCAACACTGTTCTCCCAGGGACACAGCAGCTCTTTGTTGGGGGAGTAAGGGCTGTATGAACCTTGGAGAGGTGGGTAGAGGTTTTCAGGTGAGTGAACATCACTGGCTGGGGCTGAGGGGCTGGGAATGCTTCATTTGCATGGAGCGGAGTTCCAGGTGCCAGGCCATGTGACTACTTTGGGAACTGCAGGAGGGGATTGCACGGGGCATGTAGGCAGAGAACAGAGAGAGACTGACCCTTACTCTTGCCGGCCGATCTTGAGACTGAGGTTTTTTCAGGGTCTGGACACATCCTGACCTCGCTCCAGACCCACGCCAGTTTCCCCAGGGGCACAATCCACATGCAGGCACTGCACACACGTGATACTCAAACATACATGCAGGCCAAACACCCAAAATGCCCAAAACTACAAAGACCAGAAGCCATTCAGGTATACAAATAGTGCCAATGCACACACATTTATTTTGTATGACAGAGACATGACATCATCTACAAAGGTCACTCTTGAGAAATTATTTTTAATTTTTAATTTTTAGATCTCACAATGTTTTAAATAAATTTAAGATCTGTGTTGCCCCACATTCACACCTGTTCCGGGCTGCATGTGGCTCAGGATTAGACACGCATGGTCTACAGAATGGGAAAACATCTGGGCGTCCACCTGAGACTAATATCTAGAATCTACAAAGTAAAACACACACACACACACACCCAAAATCAGCCAACCTACAAATGGACAATAACTGAACATTAAAAATTATTAATAGTCGCATTCCCCAAAAAGGAATACAAATAGCAGAAAATACAGAGGAAAATGTTTAACCTCCTTAGCATTGGGGAAATACAAATTGAATATATTAATCTTTGTCTCACCCCACTCAGAACAGCTACGAAGACAAGGTGGGGTGTTTATCCACCGCTGGTGAGAACGTGATCTAGTTGGCTACTGTGTAAGTCAGTACCGAGGCTCTTCAAAGATGTTAACTACCACACGACCCAGCGAAACTGCTTCTGACTGTATGCCCGACAGAACAGAAGTCAGAATATCACAGAGATATTTGCATATCTGTGTTCATTCTTGAAGTATTCACAATAGCCAAGATGCAGCCAGTGTAGACCAATAAAGAAAGAAAGATGAGCCACACACATATTAGCAGAGCTTAATTCAACTGTAAAAGATAATAAACCTATGTCTTTTGCAGAAAACATGGTTGAAACTAGAGACTATTATAGCAAATGAAATAAGCAGGAAGCAGAAAGATAAATGCATGTTTTTCACATGCAGAACTTGGATTTGTTAAGTCTCAAGCCCTGGGACCAAAGCCGAGGTGCCTATTTAACCTGTCACATTAGATCTAGGCTCCAGGTTCGTCCAGCACCCCTCAGTCCCTACCTGTTACAGGGTGTGTCTGGCCGACTCTGCCCCCTACCCTACACTCCAGCCCAGGGGCAAGGCCGCCCTGCCCCCAGAGGCTCTACCCTGTATAATTCAGCATTCTGATTACCTATCCTTTTGTATCTTTGCCTTCTGGGCTGCTGCACCTGGTTTGCCTTTCTCCCCTCTCTCTTTCCTTGCCCCTCTCCCCACATAGCCCAGCTCATCCTGGTCACGTCCACTCTGGACTCTTTCTACAATAAACATTTTCCTCCCCGTACCTAGCAGCAGTCGTGTCCTTTTTTTTCTTTTTTTTTTTTTTCATTCAGATACGAAAGGAGAACTGGGACTACGGGAGGAAGCAATCTAAAGAGTTGAGGAGGAGCTCACAGTAGGGCCACCGTGAGTAAAGACCAAGGTCGTCCCTTCTCTACCCACATGAAACACTAGCTGGCCGGCCAGCCACTGCTTAGAAGTACACACTGAGTGTGCCTAGGCCACCGGGAAGAGCCTCACTGTGACCTTAGAGCTAACTAGCCTCCTGCCTTGGAGGTTTCTCGAGATCTTCACTCACGACTGTCAAAAGCAATGGTGTGGCCTATGCTCATACCTACCTTCAAACAGCAGGGGGCGTAGTCCAGGTTTTGGTTTCTTTAAAGACTCAGTTATGTTACGTAAACAGGTTTTTCTTTTAATCCCAAGTGTGGGATATGCGACTGCTTCTGGTCATCCACAGCTGATAATTACCTCATAGGCCTCAGAGAGGGGCGTGGTCGTTGCCAGCTGCAGATAGTTTAATTCTGAGAGAGGCTTTGAGGAGACAGTCAGAAAAGGAAGAAGGCTGGATATCCTAATGACCGAGATTGTTATTGTCCCGAAGAACCCGACCACCCTCACCAGCCAGAACTAAGTCTAAAGAGACCTACGTCCCTTTCCCATCTAACTTTCTTTCTCTTCTACCTAGGGTTGGGGGTTGGAAGGGATGTAGAGGCTTAAGGAACCCCAAATAAAATAATTAAAAAGTAGCACCTACAAGGTGGTGCCTGTTACCTGTTAGGAGCAAGTCACTCACCTCCTGAGACTCCCAGTGGAGGTGTCGAGCAGACGAAACAGATGGAGTGCCTGCGTTGCTGCAGAGAAAAAAAAGGATAGCTCAGGTCTTCCTCTGTGTACTCAGGAGGATGGGAGCAGGGCAAATGAGAAGACAACAACAAAAAAAAGCTGGTCCTGCCAAGTTGTTGGCCTTTCCAAGCCTTGGCAGGAAAATACGCAATGCTTAATAGTGCTCAAGGGCTGCGAAGTCATTGCTGGGGTTGCTGCCTCTGTTAAGCCAGCTCCACTGCTTCTCCAGCACATAGACACACCAGTAGAAAGTCCCTCTGCAACAGCACAGTTGGCCACAGGCTTCATGAACGCTCGCGCTGCCTTAAACCTGGCGGCATCAGTTGTGGGACAGTTCTAACTATGGGAACGTGTCTCCTTTGGTGTGAGCCCACCCACCTTCGGGGAGAAAACTTTCTTTCATCTTACAAGTTACAGCTCATCCAGGGAAGCTAGGGTAGGAACTCAAGGCAGGAATTTAAAGCACAGACCACACAGGAACACTATTTACTGGCATGTCTTTCTCGGATTTGCTCAGCCACCTTTTTTACACAGCCAAGGTTCACCTGCCTGGAATGGTAAGACCCACAGTGGGCCGGGCCCACCTACATCCATTAGCAGTCAAAAAGATGCTCTACAGACGTGCCAACAGGACAATCTGATGGAGGCGATCAATCCCTCAAATGAGATTCCCTCTTCCCAGATATGTCAAAATGACAACCAAGATTGGCCATTACGATTGCCATGCACCAACTTTCAATTGTGTAATTAGGGGTGTGAGAGTTTGAGAAACGGGGGTGTGGGTGGGTTTGGTGACACACATGACAGGGATGGAGCCCTTCCCAGCAGTCCTAGGAGCACAAGATACAAAACAAGTGCCCAAGGACTTCTGTCCAGAATTGTTGCCAGGATGGCTGCTCGCTGAGTGCTAGAAGCTGTTAGCCAGGGGCTGCTAGGGCTCACTGCATCCATCAAGACAATGAACTTGACGTTTCTGCTTTCACTTTGTCTTACACCCCCATTATCTCTTCTCCTCTTAGGCCAGCACACCACAGAGAAGGAGAACGAGTGAGCTTCAGTTTCTACCCTCTGCTGCACCTGGGCCAACCTCTTCTGTCTTTGCTGGGGAAAGAACCTGTGGTTAAGAGGAGGAGGAAGGCACAGCCCAGGAGACACACCCCAGAGCTTCTGCAGTCATCAAGTCTGGAGGACCTGCCAAAGGGGCCACAGCACATTCAGGGATGCTGGCAGGCACACAGCAGGTGGCTCTGAGCATCACTGGTGCCAACAGGGTAAAGGCTACAAACACATCCAGGGCCAGAAACCACAACTGCGCCACAGACCCCCAAAAGCCAGGCATAGTTGGAAGACCCACTAACCCATGAAAGGATCCCACAGTTCAAGGTGACCTGTGATTGATGGCAAAGAACCTGAGCCTTAGACAGTGAAGACTGGGGACAGGAACCAGGCAGGTGGAGGCCTGAGCCACTGCTGACCCACAGGGATGAAAGTGATCCCAGACCATTCCCAGTGCTCTTCAGCCAGTTGTACACCTCTCCCTGCTCACCAGAGATGACAAGAAGCATCCAGGACCAGCCCAGGGATGCAGGTTATGGAGTTTAGAATCATAGCACAACTGAGGACACCTCTCAAAGTCCTGAGCCAGTGGGGGCCCTACTGGGAACAGAGACCTGCAGCCAGCTTTTTCAAAAACAACTGCCAAGCCTCCTGGGGCAGTTGATAGGATGGGATCCTGTGATGTCATAGGAGAGGATAGAGGGGTAGGGGAAGACAGAGCCCTACTGGAGACAGAAGGTGACAGAACTCTGACATCTGAGAGAGGCAATAGGCTGAGAACAGACATCTCAGATTTCCTACAGGAGACCCAACCCAGCAATGGCCACATAGTAGCTTGAATTAGGTCACTGTGCTGCAGCCAGAGACCTCAGGTACCCAGCACATCCGAACAGCACATCCTGCCTGGAGATCCCCATGGCTACCCAGAAAGCCCCACCCCCACCCTCTCTCCCTCTAATCAAGCACAGACAGCATCAGTATAGGCCCTAGTCCAAGCGGGACAGGACGCGGGCTCCCTGAGGATGTGAAGATGAGGAGGGAGGTATGCATCTGACTTCGTTGGCAAATGTTGGAAACTGTCATACAAATGCAGCAGTTCCAGGGGGTCTGTGTGCTCATGTCACCCAGGACAAGCGGCAGAAGGCTCATAGCTCAAATGTTGTAGCAGCAATCCCACAGGACAGGCAGATGTCCCTAAGCTGAAGAAGGGACCAGGCTGGAGCTGTGCACACAGTGGGCACAGAAGAATGCACAGATGGCCCACAGTATGGCAACATAGCCAGGCACAGAGAAAACTGTCTCCAACAGTTGAAAAGCAAGACCAGCAGTGTCTGCTGCAGATAGATGTGAAGGAATGAGCCACACAGGGTCGGCACAGTGAATGTCTAGAGTGGGAGGAGGCAGTGCAGACATGTGACCTGGGACTCTTCCGCACAGTCGGCATGTAGCAAAAGCCTGTTCAAGCCTTAACGACTTTCCCGTGCAAGACTGGGCCTGTTGTGGATGGGTAAAGGACTCAGGAGACCCTATGTGGCTGAGGGGGAAGTCACTGTCTTCACTTGTGTGGCCCCCGGTAGGCCCACCATGCTCCAGTGAGATAGTTCCACTCCCAAGGGGCAATAAAGCTAGATAACCCATGAGTACCATGAGTACTACCATCATGGAGAAAAATAATACAGAAAATATGTGTGACATATGACACCTGTTCATTCATACTAATATTATTACCATTGTATTAATAGAACAACACTGTTAATTATTAATATGATTCCTAGCGAGGCATGGTGAGCATGCCTATAATCTCAACATTTCAAAGTCCAAGGTATAGGATCAGCATGATTTCAAAGCCAACCTAGGCTACAAATTGAGTTCAACGAGGAGAGGACAGCTGCCTTCTGCAGTTCTCACGGCAGATTCACTGCAAGCCGCGTGCCCAAAACTTCTGCTCCGTGACGATCAGTTAGGCCCCAGACTTTCAGAAATGTTCTGAAAGCCTTTTCTCTTTGCTTCCCAGGAATATTTTGAAGACTTTTATTTCTTTCACCAGGTAAGCACATGCTCACGATGGCATATGTCCAAAGCCAGCCCCTCCATCTACTCAGGAGGCTAGAGACAGGAGTCAAGACTGCAAGTCCAAGTTGGGCAACATAGTGAGATCTGCTGAGAAAGCCAAGAAGAAGAGTGAGAGAGAATAACGAGGGTTCTCTCAACTGAGCCAGCCCTGCTGAGTGGCCCTCCACTGCACTGCAGCCTCAAGTACAGGAAGTGGGAGCTATTTCAGTGTTGCCCTTCACGCATAATCCTGAGCATATCTCTTGCCAGGTCTCTCAGTATCCTCTCCTTAAAAACGAGAGTTAAGCTTATTTTCCCTCCCAAAGGTCTGTAGATGGTCAAGAAAATCATGGAACATGAGTACAAGTTGTGTCCTAACCTCTATACATTAAAAAAACATTAATTAAGGCAGTAGTTTTCCTCTGTCAGACCTCTTGCTACACAACATGGTTTTTAAACTCTTGCTATCCCCTTGGCATTTTTTTTAAACCTATACAGTGTTTTTAAAATTCAGTTTAATAAAGACACAATCTCACTATATCACCTAGTCTACCTTTGCAGCTCAAGTAATCCTCTTGGCCCCAGCCTCTGGTTAGCAGTTATTTGAGGAACCTGCCACCTTCTGGCTCTAAAACCAACTTTTGTCTGCTTTTATCATTCTGCCAGAGAAATCCTTATTGTGACTGGAATCCATACCTTGCCTCATCCTTCCTAAGAAAAGAATACAATACTAGTTACCCAGAATACAGCACCCACACCCACAGGTTTCCCTTTGTTCAAGCCATCTTCCTGCCTTAGCATCTTCTGTGCACGTGCCATCAAACTAATGTTGGCTACTAGGTACATAGTGAGCATTCACTATTCTTAGTGCATTTAACAAAATTCAGGGAGAAAAAAAAATATTGTGAGAGACTGGAAATGTTGGTGGGTAGCCCAGGCTACCCAGTGAGACTCTTTAAAACAACAAGAAATACTGGGATATGACTGACGGTAAAGCACTTGCCTACCGTATGTGTTAAGACCTTGGGTTTAATCACAGAGTGCATAAAGGGGCTGGGGGGAGGGGCTGCTACAGTAATGACTAACAGCAGCAATGCATAAATCAGCGCTAGATGCTGGGTCTGAAGATGCTCCTGTCCGACTAAAATAACAAATGGACAGCCACCGGATGCTGGCCACAGGAGCCACAGTTGCGGAAGCCTCGCTCTCAAGTGGCCCATAACGTAGCAGTCAGAAGCACAAACAGTACGAAGACTGGTCCAAGCATTTCTTGATCTCATGTCATCTACGTCTGCATTCCATTTCCAGCAGCTGACTGTGCGCTTGGAGCCCTAGACTGTGGGGAGCTTTAATTACATCTTAGCTCTTTTCCTTTCTCTGTCCTGTTCTCCGCCCCAGTTCTCCCACACCACCCCTTCCCATTTATTTTTTTTTTTTGTAAAGTATCTAAATAAGTGATCCAGTCTTATTCTTCAGTTCTCCCAATTGGTAGAAATCATACTTAAAAAAAAAAAAAAAGTTGAGCATATAGTATTACACTGCTAAGAATTTGTATGGTTTTGACTCACAAAAACAGCAATTCTGTATAACTAAGTTTAACTGACTCCTAAGTCCTTGTATTCTGTATGTGTAGATGTACCTTCTCATCTATGTGTATGCATGTGGAGGTCAGAGGTCAAGCTCCAGGCACCATGCACCTTGTCTTTTGTTCAGTTTCTCAGTGGATGTGGAGCTGACCATGTAAGCTGGGCTGGCAGGCCAGCAAAGCCCAGGGATTCACCTACCTCTGCTTCCCTGGAGCTGAGATTATAAACAGGCGCCACCACGCTTGGCTTTTTTGACATGGGTTCTGGGATGGACTCAACATGGCGAGTACTTGACTAAGCTCGGGTTTTGAATCCCGGGACGAATGCTGTTGTGGAAAACCTCAGGCTTAGCACACACAAGGTCTGATGCCATTACCAAGAAAGACAGGGAGAGGATGCTCTGAACCTCGATTCCATAAATACAGGAGTTGAGTTCAGTGGACCTGAGCATTAAAAAGCCGTCACTCCCAACATGAAGAACAGCTGTGTGTAGTGGGCACAGCTGTAGCCCACCACTTGGTGGGCTGAGGGAGGACTGCTGTTGAGTTCAAGGCCAGCTTGGACTACACAGCAAAAGCACATATTAGAAAATCAAAAAGGCAGAGCTGAGCCCATCTCTTGTGCACAAACCCTAACCTGTCAACCTGATGAAAAGCCAATCAATCTTTGTCAACTATTTATTTAAAGCAGATTCTGTTTCTGTTTGGAAGTGAAATCCTTAACTGGGTTTCAAATATCCAAGCTACTGCTAATTTAAGTGGGGGATGCTTAACACTTAATGCACTGGACTCAACTGAACGTTCTAGATAAAGCAGAATGTAGTGTCCACCAACAATAAGGAATACACTACCAACGTACACCACAGGATCAATACCAAAAACCTGGAGTCACCAAGCATGGTCGATATGCCTATAATCCCAGCACTTGGAAGGCTGACACAGAATTCAAATTCACAGCCAACCTGGGCTCAAAGACACAAATAAACATAAAACATCCCCATGTGAAAGAAGGCAAAGCTCACCCCGGGACATCCCACTGCCAAGAGCTGTAGGAAGAGAAATCTAGTTGGTAGTAACTGAAAGCAGAGCTCTGGCTACCCTAGGCTGGGAGTAGAGAAACTATTTGGGGAGGTACAACTTGCAAGCAGCAGAGCACTGTAGACTCTGTAGTGGCTGTGCAGAGATAAGCTAGTCACATTCCGTGGATGTATTTAAATGAGCACACTTTGATGTGTGCACACAGTACTTCGACAATTCACAACATACAAAATGAGAGCAACATTTGGTTATCAAATAAAACATGAGTGTGTATCACTGACAGAGCCAAAGTGTCCTCTGACCAACCTGCCGATCCTTTATCTACCCAACACATCCTTTCCCACATGTAATTAGGAATTTGGAATGGCTTCTAAAGAACCTTTAAAAATATAATCATATACATATATCTGTATGAAACACAGCTTTTTTTTTTTTTTGCACATGGATCTAATGCTTACTTAAATATACCTACCACTTGCAATTACCCTTTAGCATTACATTTTAAAAACCTATCAAGTGACCACAGATTGAGGTTATTCCTTTGAACACCAGTACAGTAATTTAACCTCTGACTGATTACACCACAGTTTACTTAGCCAGGCCATTCCCCATTCAGAAAGACCCTTAGATTGTTTCCCCTATTACATACAACTCTCCAGTGTAAGGAGAAAGCATTCACTGCTAGGGTGGAATCTCCTCTCTAACTCCTATCAATGAGAATTTTTCAATATATAGTTTATTATAATCTATTTTGGTACTGGTTTGTAAAAAATAAAACTGACATATAAATTACCAAAACAATGAGACAAATAGTAATATGAATCTATTAAAATCTAAGGAAATCATAAACATGGAGGGTGCAATTTTGTCTCATGGTTGGAAACATTTATTAAAATGAGCATTACACGATCATAACAGCCACTTTCTCCTATGTAAAGATTACAATTAAAACACCAGCATATTTATTCATAAGTGTAATTAATGCATTTACATTCTGTTCATATTTTTTGCTTTCTTCTTTTATGACTATGATGTCTTTCTCCATCCCTGAAATAAAGAAGTATAAAGTTATAAATGAGAGGCACTTTAATATTTCAGCTTTGTAATAATTCAACAGTAATATATTTTCACCAGACATAAACAATAAGTTAAAGCATGCATTTAGAACTAAACAATACTTTTTTTTTTTTTTTTTGAGACAGTCTAGCCTCACCTAGCCTAGAACTTACTATTTATTTAGACCAGGCTGGCCTTGAACTCAGATATCACCTGCCTCTGTCCTGCTAAGTGCTGACATTAATGGCACTTTAATTAAAGTCTCTTTAATTTATAGATTAAGGTGCAGCACCACTTCCAGCTGAACAATACTTTAAAAGTAAAAAAGGAAAAGTCACTTATTAAATTAAGATCAAGATTAAAATACAGGTAAGTAAAATTGGGGGTGCTAATTAAGGAGGGAAGGGAGATAAATACAGAATAAAGTAGGAGGGTAAAAATGACAATAAAGATGTTTGAAAAAGTCATAAGGACTCATACTATTAACTACCTTTAAAAAAAACTCACATATAAGTCTATTTAAAACAATGCATATAAGTCTATTTAAAAACAAACCTGTTTAAAAAGAGACTTGTTGAGAGGCATAGGAGAAGAAGAGGGAGGGTGGGATTGGGAGGGGGTGGGGGAGGAGGCTACAGCCGGGATACAAAGTGAATAAACTGTAATTAATAAAAATAAAATTAAAAATTAAAAAAAAGAGAGACTTGTTTATGGATTATATGAAATCTTTTCATCTGAGCTGACAATGCTCCCTCTAAGAGCCAAAGACGACTTAATAAACGCCCTACACCAGGCATGAAAGGCCTTCTTTAGAGCTGTTGGTCAGGATTGTCCAAGAAACTTGCAAAACACTGCAGGTTACTGCTATTGGAAGGTAAGTCCCTATTGCTGAAGACAGCATGCACTTCAGACACAGCCCGAGCTGGAACTGACGGGAGTGAATGCTTTCTCCCTGAGCACCAGCTTTCATAGTACCAGAAGGCAGCTTGCAAGCTTCCAAAGGAGGGAAGCAACCAACAGCCCTGTCCCGCTATGATGCCCGTGAACCACAACGCCCAGCATGGCACAGCAGCCGTAAGGGTGCAGGAGTGCACAATACCTTGTCGGCAACCAAAAGCTCTCTGACTGGACTTGAGACCGCTCAACAAGAGGGAAGTCATGCTTGCTGCTGGAACCCTAGCCAGCACCCAAGGCTAGTGAAGTCACCGATCTTGGAAGAGAATCTTCAACCACCACTTTACTAAACTAGCAGAATCCCTAACAGCACTCAAAATCTGTGTGCTTCTACCCACAGTTAACACCCCCTCATGAAGAAAACTCTTTACAACAGAGGGCGACCATTACAAAAAACCACAACTAATCAAATGTAGAGCTGTGGAGCCCTGTACCAATGGACACTTCCATAAAACCCACACCTAAGACTCAGAGAGCACTGCTGAAGAGGGGGCAGCGAGACTGCAAGGTCCAGAGGACCAGACAGAGCCTTGTCTCCTAGCAATTTCAGAAGCTATTCCCATCAAGTCTCTCTAACACAACTGCCTAAACAGGACGTGGACAAGAACAATAGACATGCCAAACTAGACTGGAGAAAGCCATGAGGCCTCAACCCTAGAAAATAACTACAGGCAAATAAGGAATTCTAAGCGCAGAAGAAATAGTATTACGAACAAAGAGCCACCACTTGATTATCCAATCAATACCAAGCAGTCATCCCTGAGAACACATACACAAGTAACATACAGACTAAACATGCTATATTTAGAAATACTTCCTTATGTGTATATATGTATACATATATACATGCATGTAACAACAATGAGTGGGGTAAAAGGCAATGAATTTTAAACAACAAGGATGGGTATATAGAAATTTGGAGGGAGGAAAGAAGAAGGAGTATATGGTATCTTAGAAGCAAAAGAAAGAAAAAAGGCAAGCAAAATAGATTTATATTTCAGAGGTCTGCTTTAAAATTAACTCTGAATATATGTTAATGTTAGATAAGCAAAGATTCCATTTCAAATAGAACATTAAAGGAACAGAAAAAAGCATTACATTGTCTGACTTCCTTATTCTGGCTGCTGTCTCAACTTTGTACAGCTCGGTCTATCTCGGGAATGACTGTAGGAGTCCGCTTACTCTAGGAAGAAGTGCTTCCTGCTCACACACTGCTAACCCTCTAAGGAGACCACTTCACGTTCACACTGAAGACCCCCACTGTAAGCTTACAGAGGCTGATTAGGGATGTCGCCTCTGAGAAGCGGCAAAGTGCAGTTTCTGCTAGACGGGCAAGAGTTCATTTGTGGAGACAGAGGGGGGAGCTAAGCAAGTGTTACCTTCAGAAGAGAACTGTACTACAGTTAGCTTTAGACAACAGACCGAATGACACAAAGATCAGCAAAGCTGCCAGGCCAACACAAAAAGCTTTACTAGAGCTAGAAAGATGGCTTGAGCATTTACTGTTCTTACAGAGGATTAAGGGTCAGTTCCACCACCCCAGCAGCACACAAGTGCCTGTAGCTTCCGTTCTAGGGTATCCAGTGTCTTCCTCAGGCCTCCACAGGCACCTGCGCACACTGGGCGCACATACACTGAGACAGGCACATCCTCTACCAGTGTCCCTGGAAAGACATGCCATGTGAAAGCCTGCTATCTGACAGCACTGCCCACAGTAAACTAAGTAAGGGCCAGAAGTGTGTTGCACACCTTCAATCCCAGCACTTGGGAGGTGGAGGCAGGCAGATCTCTGTGAGTTTGAGGCCAGCCTGGTCTACACAGTGAGTTCCAGGACAGCCAGGACTACACAGCGAGACCCTGTCTCAAAGAAACAAAACACCACCAACAAAAAGTCCTAAGTAGGACATGGACCCTGCCCTCTAGGAGCTAAGACTCTAGTGGAGAAGGAAGAACTAAGTGTGCCAAACAGTTACACGCTGGGTAAGGTGAGCCTTTTGCTCTAGTAAAAGAGCAAAAGAAAAGATACGAGTTTCCAAGAAATCCTTAAAAAAATAAAAAGAATTAAAATTAGGTAGCAAGAGACAGGGCAAAATGGCATAGATGTGGATGAGAAATGCAAGTCAGGCTGCCCAGGAGAGATTCTTCACTTCATGGGCCATGGAAGGTTCAAGAAACAAGCAGAAACTAATCCTGAGTGCTAAGAGCCATGCAAAGGAACGTGAATTTTGCTGCTGCTGAGTGTTAAGAGAATTTACTTGGCAGTGGTGTAGAAGCGCTATCACAGCAGGTAAGGTTAGAGACACATCCAGCAACCATTATCCTCTAGACAGACAGCAACGAGAACAGAAGGGAGGCAGACGGCCGAAAGGAGAGGAATCTGGGCCTGGCCAGATGGTAAGCAGTAGGTAAATGACTATCTTTTCCAGCATAGGTAAATGTGGGAGGGCCATCCCTCTAACCACAACAGGGATACTAGGCAAGAAGGACAGACTGAGGAACAGTTTATCTAGAGCCTGGTGAGTGTTACAACCAGGGGGATGCCCAGGAAGCAGCTGGCGTACCAGATTAGACCTCAACTGGTCTGTTTATTATTTAACATTCATTCATGTCTCCTAGTTATCAATACTAACAAGGGTAAAACTGATTGATAAAACTGGAACATCTCTGGTCCTAAAAATACTTGAACTGAAGAATTAGCTTGAAGAATGAGGAACATGAGAGGACAATATGGACAGAGATGGTCTAAGCAAGTACCATAACACTTAACTGCCGCATCCAGAAATTACTCTCCTACGTCTGGTTAAGAAGAAATTTTTTAAAAAGGAGGGAGGCACCAAGCTGGTTACGTGGTAGTACAGGTCTACAATCCAAACTACTTGGCAGGCAGAGGCAAGAGGATCACAAGTTCAAGGTCTGCCTGGGTCCTACAGGGGTAGGGGGCAATGTTTTATCATGCACACAGAATGAGGAACTATGTCCCTATAGGGGTAGTCTATGAACTGAACCATGGTGAGTATGAAGAATTCCTGTACCTTAACTTATCCCTACAATTTATTTTTCTGCATTCTACAACAAAGACTCAGGGATAGACACACTCACCTCTCTTTCCTTCTCCTTGACTCAGGATTTTTATCCTTATTTCTTTTTCGTTTGTGTGGGCTCCTACTCCGACCCCTTCTATGTCGTGAACTTTCAACATCCAAGTAACTTCCACCAGACTGTCGAGAGTCTACCGAAGCTGATCGCCTTTCTTCATTCCTGCAGTACAGAAAGGGATTTCCATCAGCTCCTTTCACCAATGGCCTCCATCTAGGGTCTAAGTCTGTATCACACCAATGGTATATAGAGTTAAATACACACGCAGAGACTTATATTCCACAAAGGCAGCAGTCACACAAACAGTCCCTATAATGTGTCTTACTTAATAACTACTGCCCTAACATGCTGCTCATCCCTAAGATTGGCAACGGCCTGACTCTAAGTACAGCAGTTCTGAGCACTGACAATAAACAAGCAGCAATGAGTCACAGAATGTCACCAAGAGTCTTAGAAATGCTAAAAGCTACTTTAAGCCACATACACATACTGCTGCACATCCATGTTATAGCACATGAGAGGCACACTACCAAGCAAGTGCATGGCTGAGGTCCAATATAACTATAAAATCAGGTGGACAAGCATTTCATCAGGAAAGACAATGGCATACTTTTCAGCACCATCTTCTGCTCTTCCTTGTTCTTCTTGCCAATGGTTGCTGAGTTCTTCCATGTGCACCTTTATCACATCCCGAATTACCTTGGAAGAAGTGAAAACCAAAGGTCAGATCAGAAAGTTGTTCTAAAATTTGAGATCGTGAAACCAGAAAAATAGGGGCTGGAGAGATGGCCCAGTGGTTATGAGCACTTGTTGCTCTTCCAGAGGACCAAGTTTAGTTCCCAGCGTCCGTGCTGGTGGCTCACAGTCACACAGAACTCAAGACTTGGGGATCTAAAGTCCTCTCTTGACCTCCTTGGGCACCTGCACTCATGTGTACACACCCACACATACAAGTAATTAACGTGAAAGAAAAATTACTGTTATTACTCAAAAACTTACAAAGGGTTATGACAAAATGGACTACGAGATGCATGTACTTAAGAACTATTTTTAAAAAGGCACTGATCACACTGATGAATAAAAGGTAGATGGCAGTATTACTTCAATGTGAAACTTGAAGTTGGAACTATGCTATGACTATGCAAGACAACAGTCTTAGTCTCCAGAAATACATTTTAGATTAAATACTATTTTGGGATAAAGAATTATGATGTATAAAACTTACTCTCAAATAATTCAAGAAAAAAATATGTACAGGTACAAAATAGAGAGTAAATGATGTACAGAAAGGACAAACGGTGGCTATGCCTATAATCCCAGTACCAAATCAATTCAAGAAGCCTGAGCTACACCGTGGGACACTGTCAAGAACAAAAGGGTAAGAAGACAAAATAAGATAGAATAATGGAATACATGTGACATGAAGGCAGAAGCAGGGACAATGAGGGAAGGGAGAGGACCTGCAGAAGGAGCAGAGGCAACAGAAGACAATGAGTTTTCGAAGAAGAGCAAAGCCTAACGGCTCGTGTACTGAGGGGTGAGTGGAAATGGTGCGTACACAAGGCCAGACACCCGCAAAGGTGATCCAAGTCAAGATGGGCAGAATTCTTCCTGTTCGTGGTTTTGTAACTCTTCTGTATGATGCTATCTGCACATGATATTTAAAGCCTAATAACTAAACAAGATGAAAGACAGTATGAAATATTACAGCTACTTCACAGATGCTCTCCCAAAGAAAGATCAAATCCCTAACCTAGGAGAACCACATGAAAGTTTCTTTTCTATCTTACCCACATTATCAAGCACAGGTCTAGTCCCAGAGAAGACAGAAATAAAACCCAAAATGTGGTTCTGTTTCCCCCTGGGGGCTGTTGCCCATCAGCCTACGAAGGCAGGAGGACCAGAAGGTAAGGTGCAGGGCTTGGAAAGCCATGAGAATGATGGAGAATAACCACTCCAGGAACCACTTCAGGGAGCTAGTTCAACCTTAATTCTGGAGAACTAAAGCTATACCCCTTAAGGAATGAGTGGGGCCTCCAAGGATAGGTGTACATAACTGGTCAGAACTAGGTACTTCAAGGATGTTTGATTTGCATTAAACAGCATGCTCCTATCATATGAATGGGAACACAGTATCTCAATATTATATAGGTGGAGGAAGGGGAGAGCTAGCAGGGAGCTGTGTCAAAGGCCATATATCAAATGTGGGTGAGCCATCTATGTCTAAAGACACTCTCCAGATGAAGTCAAGCAGAGAGTAGGAGGGGAGAGAGAGTCCTGCACCTAACATCTAGCTCAGAATGGCTACCTGGACTGGAGGGACTGCAACCTCAAACAGCAGGGTCCTTCCAGCACCAAAAGAGAACTGACATTTCCCTCTTGCCTGCCAAGAAAATGTTTCACAGTATAGGAAATAGGGGGAATTACCAAAGAAGACACTACAGAGCCAGGCACAGTAGCCCACAACTTTACTCCCAGCATTTAGGAGACAGAGGCATCCTAGGTGGGTCTCTGTAAGTTCAAGGCCAGCCTAGTCTACAGAGAGCAAGTCTCAGGAAAGCCAGAGCTACACAGTGAGATCTTGTCTTAAAAAATAAAAATTAAAAAGAAAAAAGAGAGACAGAGACTACAGTTAGGACCTGTAGTTTTCCCCTTCATCAGTGAAACTTTCAATAGCTCCAAAAGCTAAACACAGAACAATGCCAAACTCCTCAGTAAGGCCCGGGAATCCTTTCTGACACCAGAGGAGAAGCCACAGAAAGCACCTGGCAATTCCCACAGAAATCCTAAGCCCCAGCCAGCCCCCAAGACCCTCAGCTTTGTTTTTGCTGTTGTTGTTTGTTTTTAGTCTGGAAATGGTTTATTCCCACTTCTTGACCACTATATATTCTCCGTGGAAAACCCAATGTAGCCCAGGCTGTACCAGTAGAGGGCATGAGCCACACACAGCAGCAGCCACATTCCAGCTCTAGGACCTCGAGCAGCCCCGTCTGACTACCTCTGAATAGCTCTACCAGGGTTCCCTGAAGGCCATCTAGAACCCACCTAGCACAGGTCTGCCACACAGCAAACAGTCAGGAGTTTCCTTAGCTTCAAGCTGCCCTTTTCCTCAGAGCTGTGGTATCTTAGACCTCACACCGATCTAACCTTTTAACAAGAAGCAACCACTGCTCACTCCTACTTTAGCACAATCTGTAACACCACTGCACATAGAGCACTAAAGATGCTCTCTTGCTGCCATCACCTTTGCACATCCCGGCAGTCTACTGTGCATCAGATCTATAGTATGTAACTTTCTTGCTGAAATTTGTCAAAATTCAGATCCTAGTCCAGAGCAAACCAAAAGTACATATGGCGTGAAATGGAAGCTAGGAAAGGGTAAAATGAGACAAAGCCGTAAGATGGGGTAGACGATCAAGTCTAGAGGCAGGAGGCGGCAGTTAAGGAAATGTAAACTCCTTATACTATGCTGATCACTTAAGTATATGTAAGTATTTCCGTGAGAAGAGGTCAGGCATGAAATGGTAAAGAGCACCAGTATCAACACGATCCCAAAGATATGAGACCAGAGGGGACCTAGAGAATGACCAAAGATTTGAGGGCCTGTAAACACTTCCCCTGGGAGAGGTACGTCTAAAATATACTCTAATTATAAAAAGTACTCTAAGAAAAGCCATGTTGGGTGTGTGGCAAAGTGTTAACAATGACTCAGAAGCATCCAGAACGGGCTGAGTGACCTTTCATCTACCAAGACTCAAAGTGACAGAAAAGAGCATTTCATATAAAGTGGCAACATGTGTCAGAGAATGGAGGTAACATATGTCAGCGACAGCTTCAGAGACATGCTGGATGAAGCAAAATAAAATCCTGACAAAATGAGCTTACCCTGTAAAAACCTCTGAAATCAGAAAAGAAATCATATAGAACAATTAAGAGGTTAATATGGAAACTGGGTCTAGATAGAGTAATTTATGTACCAAAAAATTCACCAGTCTTCCCCACTAAATGACATCTAATAAGTCTAGCTTTTATCATAGACAGACTGACTTACAATAAATATCAAGACATTTCTCACTAGGCATGGCCACTCATACACAGTAAGCCTAGCACTCAGGAGGCTGGAAGGAAGAACTGCTGAGCGTGAGTCTACCCTAAGCTACACCGTGAGCTCGCGGACAGCCTGAGCTCTGGGTTACAATGAGAGAACCCATCTCAGTGAATGAATCAATGAATGAATTAGTAAAAATTTCAGCCTAAATCTTTAGCAGAGCACATCAAAATTTCTACAAAAAAAGCTGGGGAGAAAGTCAGTGGTTGAGAGATTGGGTTCAGTTCCCAGCATCTACATGGCAGCTCACAACCACCTGTAACTGCATTTCCAGCAGATCTGACACACTCTTCGGCCCCATGGGCATTGTATACATGTGCTGCACTGACACAAATGCAAACAAAATACTCATACTCATAAAATAAAAATAAATCTGAAAAAATTATGCAAAAAGTGACAGCTAATATTTACTCAGGGATTTCCATTAATCATCTTAATTAATAGATTCCCATGATATCCCTGCAAAGGCTGTACTATCATAAAAAGAGGGAGGAGACTCCCCCAGAATTTATGAAAACTCAACGGGGGCTGGATGCTCTTAAGCATCTGAATGCTGGGCATGGTGGAACACACCTTTCCTCCTAGCACTCAGGAGGACAGGCAGGCAGATCTCTAAGTTTGAGGCCAGCCAGGGCTCCACAGAGAAACCTTGGCTCACAAGGACTTGTAACTCCAGCTCTAGATCCAACACACTCTTCTGGCCTCTATGGGCACCCATATATATATTTATGTACACACACACACACACACACACACACACACACACACACACAATGAGCATATACTCAGGCACACACACATCTACATAAAATAAAAATAAAAAGCAAGTCACACGTAGCCAATGACAAACAGCAGAGTAGAAACTAAAGCCAAAGAATGGCGCCTGGTGGTGCATGTCTTTAATCCCAGCATTCAAGAAGTTAAGCGGAAGATCTCTGTGAGCTCAAGGCCAGCCTGGCCTACAGAGCAAGTTCCAGGTCAGAGAGGACGACATGAAGACCCAGCCTCACCCCATTCTCCAACCATTGCAAACAAACCCTCTTAAGCCAAGGGCCGCTAAAAGCTCAGATTTATTCTCTTATCACAACCCAGTACCACTTTCTAAAAGTCTCTAAAAGGTTATGCAACCTCCAAAGATTATGTTAGCACCCAGAAACGAAAACAGGTAGGCTTACGAGCACTGGGCAAAGACAAACAGGTGTGGCATTTTCAAGACACTTCAGAAAAAAAATCTCCAGGGGCATAAAACAGACTTAGAAAACTATGGGAAATTTTTATTTTCAACACAAGCACTACAAAATTATGTGAAACTTACCTCAGTATAAGATTTTTTAGTTATATGAACATTCTTAGCTCTATAGGACTGGCGTCTTCTTTTGTAATCTCTCACTTCTGCCAGGATTTCTAGGTAAGATTTTGGACTTTTTCGACTATTATCTAATGAAAGAATAAGAATATTACAGCCTTAGAAACTTTTAAATTATTTTTAATAATGTCTATGCATATCACTACATGTAAAACGTGTACGTTTATGGGTTTGTCCGTGTGAGTGAGGGTGTCTGGGGAGTCCAGAAGAGGTCATTTAATCCCCTGGGGCTGGAGTTAAGGCAGCAGTGAGCCAGCCAATGTGGGTGCTGAGAACTGAACCTGGGTCCTCTGCAAGAACATTATAAGCTCGTATAAGATCTATCTCTCTACCCCCACTTTTAAATTAAGAAATTAACAGGAATAATCCTATTTAGTATGTTTCAAAGTAACATACAAAAAAATTCCAAAATGTTCTCCAGATTAAACAAAATGTATGTACACAGACAGACCATTTTATATCACTCTTTTTCTTCAGCATAGAGGTGCTCTCTATAATTGACAGAACATTGTGCTTAAAGTAGAAGTCAGAATAAACTCCATTCATAAGCAATACCATTCATTACTAACTAATGTCAAATGAGACACAAAACCACCTTACCCCACATCAAGTGGCCCAAAAATGAAATCACTTTACTGACATTCATGAGATGGAATGACAAGAAATGTAAAAGATCATATTCATTTCAAACCTTGATTGACTTTAGCAGCCAAGTCTACAAACAGATCACTGTCATTTTCAATGACTTGAGAACCAGAACGCTTTTTCTTTGTCTCCTCAATGACAAAATCATAAAGGGCAAGACGATCTGCTTGGGTAAGGTCACAAACAGATCGTTTATGATTCAGAGGAACTTCAACAGGCATTGAAGAATACATTCCTAAGATAAAATAAGACAAGAGTAAACGATGGATAAAGCATGTGGACTTATACTCTTAAACATGTGCTATAACAATACAATCTTAACCCAAACTACTTTTACATATGAAAAAATGCATGTGGTAAATGGTCATATTTCATGGATGTCTGCTATTCTCTCCAACAAGGTTAGGGCAGACTGCCCAAGTCAGGCAGTGATAGCCATGAAAAAAGACCCCGAGCATCAGAAAACCTGTCTTTCTTTTTGATGAGGTCTGGCCATGTTGCCATGCTGGTGCAGACTCATGGGTTCAAGGGATTCTCCTGTCTCAGCTTCTCAAGTAGCTAGGACTACTTGGTACACACCTTAGGAACATGTGAAGAAAACCTCTGTGTAATAATTTCTTAAATACGACCTCTATTACAAAAGTAGAAATTATTTCTGTGTATATGCTTTTTTCATAAAAGCTGAAAATACTTTAGTCCTTCTGAAAACAAATTAAGAGACTGTGAAGAATGAGTTTAAAAAAAAATCCTTATATGAAACATTAAGGTCCAATAACTAAAGTGGGGAAATAAAAAAATTTTTTTTTTAAATTAAGCCAATGATGGTGGCAAAGACTGGTACTCTTAGTCTTCAGGAGATGGGATAGTCACAGGCAGGCCTACACAGCAAGAGGAAAAGCTGGGCTGCACAGAGAGACTCTGTTTTTTTGTTTTGTTTTTTTCTTAAAGTAGAAACCCTAAACTTCCTAAGACAAGGAAAAGACAATTTAAACTTGTTTTAGTTTCCTAAGGAGGAAGTATGCTGGCTTAAATACATCAAATGGAAAAGGTAACAGCAGTGTCCCTAATAGTTACAGATCATTCTAAAGTCTGCTCACGAATGAACAATAAATATATACAATACCTTGATATGATGTATTAAAACATGGAAGAAAAATTGTTTTGAGATTCAAATATTCTCAAAGAAATAAAATGAGTATAACTGTAAACAAAGCAACTTAAAACAAGTCTTCCTAAAGCAAACAGAGAACATCACTTCTTGAGGAATGCTAAAGTTTGCTGGGTAGCCTAAGGGAGCTAAAGCTGGCACAGAGCCCGGTGAGGATTCACAGTAGCTCTCCCCAGACCTCATTGACATCTCAGGTAAGAGGAACAGAAGTTGAGCAAGAGCACAGAAGTGACTTCACACTTGTCCACACACTAGAGAGAGCTGCAGCGGCCCTGCGGCAGTGGTTTACCAGATGCAGATAATGACACCTGGACATTGGTACTGGTCAAGGGGTTGGAAATGAATGGGAAAGATGGACTCCCTCTTAAATCAGTCGACCACACTGACGCCAAGGCACTAGCAAAAGATTTTATGCAGCCAGGGGCTAAACACAATCATACAATACAAGCTTGGCTTTGATAAGCCTAATTACTTTGAATATAAGCTATAAAAATCTGACAGGAAAAATACAAAGTTTAGAAAACAGTATAATAATCAAGCTCAAAGTTTCCTTGTAGTAATCTTAAATTTCTTTATGATAGAGATTAATACTTAAATTTCTTAAAATTCAATCAAAATTCCAAACCAAGACTTTAAGAGCGACAGTCACTGAAATAAAGTCAGAAGTTTGAGTGGTACTTTTAAAAGGATATCATTTGCAAAAAGGATACTGCATATCTTTAAATAAGGAGTACATTCAGGTTCCTAATTCCTCTTTATACTCACCCCAATTACTGAAAAAGAAAAAGTACAGAAAAGGTTAAGCAACAAACTGCATTTCAAAACTCTCATAACATTTCTGATTTAAAAAAAAAAAAAAAAAAAAAAAAAGGATAAGCACACCTAAACAAGCTTCATTTACAGGAGGCATGAATTTTCAAAGTGCAAGTTTCCATGTGGCTTATATCCTGTAACCGCTTTAAGTCCATGCTCTCTTTTGTCATCTTTTAAATTGTGGTAAAATATAAATGAACTACAATTCATCCTTATCATTTTCAATTATACAGTTCAGAGCACTGTATCAGACTGTACAGACTATCAGCTCTACCCATCTCCAGATCTCGCATCACTCCAAAATCAAACTTTAACTTACTTTACTGTGCATTCTTCATTAGTCCCTTGCGATTCACGAGAAAACTTACCCAGCACACATAAAGGAACTGTCTCAACGTGATGACAGTCATGCACGAACTGAGTGCCCGCAGAGACAACTGCTAACGTTAGATAAAGGAAACCAGGCCCAGAGGAGAAAAACTGGCCCTCCAAGATTCTTTTACAGGACACTGGTTTCAAATCATGGCCATGTCTCATCTCAAGTATGCAACATAAAATTCACAGCAATATGAGTATTTAATACTGGAGGAAAAAGATAAACCACTAAGTATAAAATTATAACTTATGATAAAATTAATAACTTTGTTATAGAACTGGTCAAAGTAGCTACCAAGAAAGTAAACACCTGGGCCGAGGCTGTTTGTTCACTTTGCGTGAAGGTTAGCAGAGTTTAGGTTTGACCTCACACAACAGGCACAATGAAAACATAGTCACTGCCAACACTTCCATCTTAGTGCACCTTAAACTATTAATCAGATGAGGAAATGACTGTTGCTTTATGTTCACATAAATAAATCCCTAAGAAGATAGTTAAAGAGATTCTTGTCCTCAGGCCAAAGGTGTGAAAATACCCAAGATTTAAGTGGGCCACAAAGATAATTCTGATAAAAAACAATGTAGAACTCTACATGGAATTGAAACATGTTTTTAAAAGAGGGTTGCAGATCACATTAAAAGTTATTAAAAGCAATCAAATATTAAGATAGAAGACTTCAAAATCAAATAAGTTTCTCTACTCTCCTGAAGAACTGTTTCAAGTCATTTTTTGATGCCTAAGTCCAAGCCCCAGTACCACAAAATAATAAATGACCAAAATCACTGTTTCTGTGATGAACTGAGTTCAATGCTTAAATCTTACTGTCTAGTTCTATAAATTCATACAAGCTGACATTTTCTAAATCATTCACTCCTATAAAACTCATTCATGTCATAAGAACACTTGGTGCACATTAGGTTTTTTTTTCTTGAATAGTGTAACTACCAATTAATGTAGCTAGCCCCAGTCTAGCTCTTGCCGTGTCTATTCTCACAATACAAGATCACTGCGCTCCAGATACAGAACAAAGCTCACAGGTCACTTATGCAGGGTGGTCGCACACGCACTTCTTTAGACTGACAACAATGCTGAGTAGCACTAACATGCGCATGTATGTGCAGTCTCTTGTGCTCACAATGACATGATGTGACATCATCCAGAACCCCATTCACAACTTTCACTGTCATTTCTAACCCAAAGTAGAAGAACTCAATTACGAGCCCGTGCCACAAGACAGAATTTCATTCTGGAGTCAGCCTTGCTGTTACCTAGCAAAGGTAAGCCTCTTCCCTTTGTGCTTCTTGACCTAATATGGAAGGGAACACTTCTCCAACATAACACAAGTTTGCTGAGGAAAAGAAGTGTTAAAAGGCAAAAGGATTAGCTGGATGTGTGGCACAAACCTAGAACTCCAGCTGAGGCAGGAGTACAGTCAGACTGAGGGCAGCCTGGGCTAGAGACCCTGTCTCAAAGAAACAAAGGGGAGAGGTGCAGCGGAAGAACATTACTAAATAACAAAAGCACTGAAGACCTTTAGAACACACAAGAACTTTATCAAACTGGCCCTATCTGCCAGTTTCTTTCCTATCTGTAAAACACAGACAATGGATTACATGATCCAAATAGTCTTTCAACTCCAAAACAAATTAATCTATCTAAACCAGTTAAGAGCCAAGCCTCTCAAAAACAAACAAACAAACAACAACAACAAAAAAAAAACAACTTTTTTTTTTCTCCTAAATTATTACTACTGGTCTGTTAACAGGGCCAACAAGTGAAAATAAGAGAGATCACAAAAGATTTAAGTGATCACAGATCAGTAACAAATTTAAAAGCTGAGATGAAGCCAACAGATAATGAAAGTGTGAGTTTTGAAAGGAAATACTAGAAATGTACTTTGGCTGGCAGGATGGCTCACTGGTTAAAGATGCTTGCCACGAAGCCTGACCACATGTATTCAACCCTTGGAAGCCACACTGTGGAGTGAGAGAACCGATGCCCTGACACTGTCCTTGGACCTCTACACATTATTATTAATACTCATGTGCCGCCAGACCTCACCCTGCCAGACAACCAAACAAGCGGAAAATGTTTTTGGGCTACTGGAAGTAACTATGGAAAGACACAGAGGCCAAGGACAAAACAATCTTCAGTCTAAACCTGCAGTCACCTCAGGAGAGATAAAGTCCAGACAGCACACAGCAGCTTCTTAGAACAGTAGTGGGAAGACTGAATTTCAACAAGGGAAAATCTGCAGACACAACCACAGGAAGAGTGAGAAAGGAGCGCTCCACCTTCCACAGGACAACTGGTAAGTGGAGCCAGTTGCTCTGACTCAATGCCTACTCAGAGTCAAAAGTCTAAAATCTTATTAACTTACTTCCTTCTGTTTAGATTTTTGAATCTGCCAAATTCCAAGGCAGAAACATTTTAAAACAGCCCCGCTAGGCATAAGAAAACCCACAGATGCTACAGGTAAACCACCATGCTTATGCTTTCTTTTCCAGAGGCACCCAAAATCTCAAAGAGGTCAAATCCAAAACAGGTACAATTACAGACTTGGGAGAGAATGTTCTGAGAGCAGCAATGAAGACTGATCTTTAAATGTTATGCATCACGTTTCAATATTAAGAAACTCTCAAGGTCAGGTACTTGCACCTGAGCAGAACAAAACAAGATACCCTTATCCAGTATACTTATTCACTACACAAAAACTTACCCACAAGGCAACCACAGCTATTAGATAATGCCAAAACAGCACCCCGGGCTGAGATAGTGTTTGACGGAGACTCCAGAGTATCTGAGTAAGAAATAGCTATCCAAGTAGAAACAATGTAAGCCATCCCTCTGTTAAATGTAAGTGACCCTTTTCCAATGTAACCATTTCACAAGAGTTTTCTTGAAAAGCACATATAACATGTGCTCATATGAGGAAAAAAAATACCTTGATTCACCAGTTAGCTGAAACTGCAACAACACTTACTTTGACTGTAACAATCACCATCTTTTCCAGCTGCAGTTCTAGCTTGTTTGATTATCTGAAACTGTGAATCCTTATCTGAAAAAGAAAAATTAGCATCATCCCCTATAATGCAATAAGAATTCCTTCAGAGCTAGCTACACCCCAAGAAATGATCAGATTTCAATTAGTTCAGAAAACATAATCAGGCATTCAGGATTACCACGCACAAACTGAAGTAACTAGTAACCAGTATCTCTTAGAGGCCAGACACCATTTGAAATATATTAGCTACATTTTAAAGTGTGGGGATAGGGTGCTTGCACCGGCAAGTAAAGACTCTAGGTTCAAGCTCCAGAACCACCAAAAATAATAAAGAAACTTAGGTAGTAAACAGGGCAATATCTCATCAAAAGTTACATACATATCTGAATCAGGACATTGTTTCTTAAGGTCAATCAAGGTCAACTTGTACTGCAAATAACTGAACCACGTTTCTGTCTGCCCTTATATTGTCACACTATACAGATCATGATTCTACCTTCTCTCATATCTTTGGTCATATTTTTGTTATAACCAAGAAGGGAGGCATGTACCCTACCGTGTAATTGTTTGTTTGTATGTTTTTGTAAGACAGGCTCTCTCTATTATGTAACTCTGGCTGTCCTATTCACTATGTAGACCAGCTTGACCTTAAACTCAGAGAGATCCATGTGCCTCTGCCTTCCCACCATGCCTGGGCTACTACTCAAAATTTTGCAGGACCTTCACTCCCAGTTAACATAAATGCAGTCTATTTTTACATTAAACAAAGTGTCTTCACTGTATTTTAATTAATCCTATTATCCCCTTAAGGTTCTAAATCACAAGCACGTCTATAATACCCATTCTTCTGCTAATTCAAAAGAGAAAAATTAATACAAAAATAGTCTATCTTTCAATTAATATCTAATATACTTACTCAAAGTAACTGAAGGAATCTTCAAATTCTCATAGAAAAAAGCAGGATTGTACATTTCATCCTAGACAGTAGAAAGAACAAAAACAGACACTTTAGTTAGTATTCTTAAAAACTGCACAATTGGCTGTTTGAAGTTTTGCCATAAAAAATACCACAATGTAAATATAGTATCTGTGATGTCAGACAGAGTACTATCTATTCTACACAGGCTCACAATACATTCTCCTGACTTACTAAAGAATGAATTACATAATATTATGGAATAAACAAATGCTACCTCTTCCTCTTTGTCATAGCCCAGTTTCCTCAATCTGCAAGACTCCACGTGCTTTGCTAGTGATGATTTAGGCATGTGATGATTAGAATCATAAGGGCATATGGCGATTTCATCCTGCAAAAATCAAACATGGGGGAAAACAGTATTTAAACAACAGTCTAGTACTTCTTTTATGGGCCTTGCTCCAATGTGGGTGTCTGTATTAAAAAAAAAACCAAAAACAGCCACTCCTCACCTCCCCCACTCCACTGACACCCACAACTTTCCTGATACTGAAGCCAAAGAACATGTCATAGTTGTTGTTTTTGTTGTTGTTGTCATCCTGGCACTCCCGGTGAACTTGACACTCTTTTTGTAGTTCATATGTACATACGTGTGTAGGGGCACATGTGTAAAGGTGCATATGGAGGCCAGAGATCAACATCAGATGTCTGTCCGTCACTCTCTACTAAATCTGAAGCTCACCTATTTGGCTAGACTGGCTATCCAGGAAACCTTCTTTTCCAGGACTGAGGTTACAGGTATTTTTACCACTTTTCCTAGCTCTTACTGGTTCTGGGGATTCGCATGCTTCAGAAGGAAGCTCTTTATCAACTGAGCCACCTTCCCAGCCTTTGCTTTGTTTTGTTTTGTCTGAGACCGGCTCCTACTTTGTAGCCCAAGCTGGCTTTGAACTGATAGGAATCGTCTTAATTCAGCCTCCCGAGCGCTGGGATTACGGCCATTCATCACCATGTCTAGCTCTTGATAAATGTTCCATGTTCTTTCCACTCCTCTAGTTCTTATTTGGTCTCCTGCAGTTGCCCCTTTTAAGTGCTGGCATCTCATGTAATTCTACTCATTAACCTCCTGTCATTCCATAGTATGCTTCCTAGCAATATTCTGGCTTCAACTCTCACGACGCTTCAGTTTCCCGAATCCATCTCATCAGACCATGTTTCTCTCTTACTGCCTTATACTAGGAACCACAAGGTGGCTCAGCGGATGAGGCACTCACCAAGCAAGTCTGACAACATGAGTTCAATCCCTAGACTCTACACAAAGGTGGTAAGAGAAACAGATTCCACACAACTGTCCTGACCTACCTCCACATCATACACACACAATAATTTTCTTTAATTTTTTAATTATTAAGTACCTTATACTAAAAGTCCAACATGAACAAAAATAAATCACATATATTCATGGTCTATGTGAGGGTTAATATTAACTGTCAAGTTGATAAAATCTAGGATCACCTGGGAGGTGGGCCTCTGGGCCTATGTCCATGGAGAATCATCTTGATTAGGTTAACTGAGGTTGAAGACTGGCTGGAACTACTCCCTAGGCTGAGCTCCTGAACCGTATAAAAGGAGGAAATGAGCTGAGGACGAAGACTCACTGCTCTTCTTGGCTGCAGATGCCGTGGCCAAATGCCTCGCACTCTGGTACCTCTGACCTCCCTATGGTGACAGACGCCGCCTCACACTGTAAGCCTCGTTTTGTGTCTGCTACTGCAATGCGACATCTGCAAGAACGACTCAAAGGAGAGTTTGTTGGGCTCACAGTCCCAGGTTACAGTCCACCCTGAAGGGAAGTCACAGTGGGAGAAACCTGAAAAAGGCATTCACATCCCCAAGTAAGGGCAGAGAGCAGGAACACGTTCCGCTTACTTTCCCTTTTAATTTAGTACAGGGCCAGCCCATGAACTGGTGCTGTCCACCTTTAGGGAGAATTTTCCCACCTTAATTACCCCAATGAATAAATCTCTCCGTGGTTTGCCCAGAGGCTAGCCTAATCTAGACAATTCTTTACTGAGACTCCCAGCCCAGGTGATTCTGCACTGTGTGAAAACTAATCATCAAGCCTTCCTTTCTTAACTTGCCTTGTTGGGTATTTTATCACAGCGATACAAAAGCCTCCTAGCACCCACATGTGCCTGCTTCCCATTTCAGTAAAAGGCACTACCTGCCCAAGCAAGAACTGACTCTTCCCTGATAACCCACATCCAAGCAGCCACCTAGTCCTGACATTCTTACTCCTTCCTATGTGTCTCTGAAATCCTCTTCATTCTCTCTAGCCCCACTGCCACTTGTAGTCAAGATGTCACATTCCCTCTCTGGATTACAATGGCTAATTGCTCTATCTCTGCTTCCAGGATGGCTGCTTCCATTCTCCACCATCTAGCCATTTTTTAAACGCCGGCTCTCCCATTTACTGACTATAAAAACTGAGTGACATAATTAACCTCTCCTTGAGTCAGCGTCTTCATCTGTAAATAAGCAATAGACTCTCATCTCACAAAGATATCATGAAGATTAAGTAAATATAAATGTGAGCTTATATTCAGAAAGCATTTGAGTAGGGCCCAGTACATAACAAGCACTAAATAAGTATTAGTAGCCGTCTTACCAAAACACAAATGTGATTTGGAATGTTCTGACTTAAAATTTGTCCATGCCTCCCCTGTTGCCCACATTTTAAAAAACAAATAAACAATAATAATAATAATAAAGTGTCTCTAATATGACTGACAAGGACCTTTAGAAGGCTCTAACCCCTAGCCATTATCACTCCCCTGGCCATTTGTAGCAAAGAGCCCTGCTTGGTCTAGAACTCATTGTGTAGGGAAGGCTGGCTCAAATTACAGAGAGCCACGCACCTCTGCCTCACAGGTGCTGGGATTACAGGCGCACCCCACCGCGCCTGGTCACCAGCTCTCCTCCTGATGTTTTAGCCACCCTCAAGTACTTCAAGCTCTCTAATGATTCAAGCGCAGACTTCTAAGTGGGGATGCTTTCTTTAGGCCTCACCTAGCTAATTCTACTCATTTTATTTTTTTAGTTTTGACTTTTTTTTTTCTCTTTCTGGTGAGTTCTTTCTAGTAAAGGAAGCATAAGGACCCAAATTCAAATCCTTAGAACCCACGCAAAAATATCAGAATATGGTCAATATGGTATCTGCAACTTCAGTGCTGCCACTATGACAGAAGATGGACAGGGCCAACTCAACTGATGGATGCAATATCAAGACAGGAGACCCTAAACAAGGGAAAAATTAAAGACCCATAACCCAAGCCATACACCCATACACACCCATGCACAGTCTCAAAAATATAAATTTCCAGACTTTTACTGACCCACTATAGCCTATAATAACCAGTACTACAAAAATTTCAACTCCACCAATCACAGACTCTGCCACACAATAGCATAACTGTCCTCTCTCTACCTCCCTCCCTGACACCATAAGCTCTACGAGGACACAAACTATGAGTGCTGTCCACTAAGCACTACTGTAGAAACATAAAAATTGATTAACTATCTGGACTGCATCTATCCTAGAAACTATCAATGTCATTTGCCAGGATCTGTAAGCCAGTTACTCTACTGAATATCAGATAATCACGTACTCCACGGCTTACTGTCTTATTTGGGGGTTTTACATAGAGTTTTTACACAGCAATCAAGTACACAAACCCTCAGACGCCAGAAGGCCTGCATTCAAATCCCAGCTGCCAATCCCACCTTGATGTTTTGGTTTCTTCACCTGCAAAATGCTGCCAGTCATTCTCACCTGGGCGGGTCATGATGAATTTTAAATGAAGTAATGCTGTGCCATATGTGAGTATCGCGACGCTGAGCAGACTTGTAAAGGTACAGGTTTGTTTGTACAGACTTGTAAAGGTACAGGTTTGTTTGTACAGTGACAGGTTTGTTTCTTTCCATTCCCACTCTAACTTTAACAGTAAGTTAGAACAGTAAGTGGCTTATTGTAAATCGAATACATCTTAAATATTTCCACTGACGTGTGACTTAAAGCTTGTTATTTCATCACAGTAAATGATGAGAGTTTAAGAAATCACCGTGCAGCGGGGCGCCGTGGCGTACATCAGTAGTCCCAGCGCTTTGGGAGGCAGAGGCGGACGGATCTCTGTGCGTTCGAGACCAGCCTGCTCTACAAAGCGAGCCCGGAACAGTCAAGGCTACACAGAGAAACCCTGTCTCGAAAAACCAAAAACTAAACTAAAACGAAACAGAAAACACCGCGCAATGTAGATTTCTTTTATCCTGCACCCAAAAGAACAAAAGTCAGGATAATTCCCTCAAGTACACTTAAGGGTCAGCTGCTGGCTGCCGTTCTTTAGTGGCTTCCTTTAATCGTCCCAGAATCGGTACTGTCCGTCCGGGTTTAAGGTAGAGAAAAGTGAGCCCGACCCCAGCTTTCCAGACACTACAACTAACGCAGTGCGGAACCCTTATGACAAATGACGAAGCGAATCGCCAAACCGACCAGCGGCACCCCCGAGACAAGCACCCGGCGAGCCCTGCCCAGCCCTGCACCGCATCGGGACGGTGCGCTCGGAGAGGCCTGGGCCCCGCGGGGAGAAGCCCACAGCCCCGGCCAGGCAGGGCCACCTCCTCGCCCCTCACCTCCGCCGCCTCGTCCCCGGGGTCCAGCTGATCCAGGCTCCATCCCAGGGACGCTGTCACCTCCTCCAGCGTCCGGCAGCAGCTCTCCACGAACTCGCTCAGCTCCTCCTGCAGCCGACGGCGCTCCTCCAGAGGGGGCGGCTCGGCGTCCATGGTCTCAGCGCACCTCAAGCAGGAAGTGGCCGAACTGCTGGCCGCGCGTGGGCTTCTGGGAGCCGTGGGCGGGGCCTCGTTGGTGCCAGCCTATAGGGAAGAGCCGCGGCCGGGGCGGGAGCGGTAGTTTTGAAAGGTGTCTTCCGGGCTCTTCCGGACCTGGCTTCGTTTGCCTACCTGGTCTGTACTTGCATCCAATCTTTGAGCACCGTTCCCCCACTTTTTAGGAAAAGTGATTTACATTGACAGGAAAGCTTAAATAACAACACAAGATGTAGCCTTTCTCCAGCTGGTTAGCAGTGTGCCGCTTCCGGTTACTCTAAATGCCTTCATAGCTTCTAGATTCCTTGCCGCAAAGGTCAGTGTGCACACCCTCAGAACATTTTCCTGCGTAACCGCAAGGCATGATCAAACAGAAAATTCATAAAATCGTTGTCTTCCGAATTTCTTTTCTTACAGCAATTTATTAGGTTCTAAGCGATTGACGATAATTAGATACAACCTCTTAATTTAGGGCGGTCTCCTCTCCTTTACCTCTCCTCTCCTCCTGCCGCCTCACCTCTTTGAGACAGCGTCTCACTCACTGTGTAGCCCTGGCTCCTGGCCTGCAACTCACTTTGGAGAGCAGGCCAGAAATCCGCCTGCTTCTACCTCCCAAGCGCTGGGATTAAAGGCTTGCACCAACAGCCTGGCCTCTCTCTCCTTTTAAAATTGAGTCATTGGATTTGTGATGGGCCTAGCCCAGTTGTCTTGTAGAATATTCTTCCTCCTAGATTTGTCAATTCCCCCGGCCGCTACCGCCACCACTTCATAATTAGATTAAGTGTTAACACCACACAGAAAAATGTGTGCCTTTTCTTACGCAGGGACATAGATTCTGTTACTGAGGCTACACGGGATAAGATGATGAAGGTGGTAGCTACATCTCCACTGTCACAGTGTGTTTTCCTCTTGGTAATTAATTATTAAGTTGTCTGTGGCCGTGACATCAAATGTCCTGAGAATGTAAGGCAGAGGTTATCAAAATTCCCGTTACTTCCACCCTTTAATACAGTTCCTCATGTTGTGGTGACCCCCCCACCATAAAATTATTTCATAGCTACTTCATAACCGTAATTTTGCGACTGTCATAAACTGTAATGTAAACATCTGATATGCTGACCCCAAAGGGGTCACGACCCACAGGTTGAGAATCAGTGTGCCAGGGGCAGTGTTTCAAGCTCTGGACGCCATCCTTGTGCTATGCCTGAGGGGCAAGTTAAAAATCTTCCAGAGGGAAGAGCCCTGCTATAGTCTTTAGCAAAGCTTGAACTAAGCAACAATGACATTAGCAGTCTGTCCTGTCCATTGGGAAATCTTCATTTGAAATCCCTGGCACTAAAAGGTAATCCTTTACAAACCAAAGAGAAAGGGTGAGCAAGAACCCAAAGAGTTCTAAAACACCTACAAAGCAAAGTTTTAAAAATGGCAGACTGTCCTGACACTACCATGACACTACCAATGAATCCAGAGTTGGTGGCCACAGCACTGTCACACGAAAGCTGTAAAACTGGAATGATGCATTAAAACTTCATGTTTGATGCCTTAAATCATCATCACTTCAGCAGTGAGAATCATCTGTGTGAAACTGCAGAAAGAATTTGTAGGAATTGAAGGATTGGTGAAGGATTGACATCTAACGTCAGGCTCAGTTTTAACCAGCTCTCCTTCAGATCCTTGGAGTTAGGCATCCTTCACCATTGGATTCATTTAGATCTGTGGAAGAACTTCTAAAGCTCTTAGACTGATGAAATGAGCATCACTAACAGAACTGCAAATGATCTATCTTTCCCTTGACAGATTCTGAGTGCTGCCTGTGGTTCTGTATTCTACCCACACTGGAAGCAGCTATGATCTGTTAACAATCAGCCTGGCTCCATGTCATGGCTTCCAAGACAACAGAGCTGGTGAAAAACCTGAGCACCCGAGCCTTCAGAACAATGGCCTGCTGAAGACTCCCCTGGAACTGGGGAACTGTGTGTATTTATACACCCTATTACTCAATGTAAATCTGTTCCATGTTCCATGAGCAATCATATTAAGGAAAGGCACAGCCACTGTGCTGGAGTATTTGAGAGAACATATTCCTGAATTACATTTCACTTCACATCCTGGGTGTGGTCAACCTGGAAAGCCAGAGCTACCCTCTGTGGCTCTGCTCAGTGTCCCTAGGTAGTCACCAGCCACACTGTATTAACCGCCACTAATGTTTGCTCTTTGGCAGTTTAACAGTTTGTAAAGTGTCCTGCACATTTATAATGGCGTTCACAACATTGAGAGCTGTAGTATTCATGTGGCATTTTACATAGTGTTTTCATTTTTTAGTTTAGTTTTTTTTTATTTAAAAAGTGAATTTTTATGTGTATGGGTGTTTTGTCTGCATATATGTCTGTGTACTGTTGAGGCACACCAACATTGATATATGTCCAGACATGTCTAGGCTTTACTGCCTAGCATAACTGCAGCCATTTGTTTTTAAGTCTCCATTTGGATCATAAGGAAGAATTAAGTTCAAGTTCTCAGGCACTGCCTGCCTTTTACTTACAATTCAATACTTATTGAATGTTCTGCATGAATTAATGATCTATGTTCTACCTAAATAAAACCACAGTGCCCTGCTATGTTCCTTTCTCTGGAATGATGGGAAACTAGAAAGTCCCCACTACAGAACCAATTAAATTAAAGGTCAGTTAGAAAGACCTTGTTTAGCTAATCAAAATGATATAATGCTGCCTCCCCTTGCTTCCTATGCCTTGTTACCTGGTTATGGTTTTTCTTATAAAAAGCCTGCCCTAGAAAAAGACCAGCGTCACAGTTTGGCTCTTGAGTCCACTGTGTCCCCAACCATGGTCAGTCAATAAGCCATTCATATCTGACTGAGATTGGTGCTCAGTGGTTCATGTGGCTGTTCTTGTACTACAACAGCACCACATTTATGCCTGGTGCCTGCAGAGGCCAGAAGGGATGCTGGATCGCTGGAACTGGAGTTACAGACAGTTGTGAGCTACCATGTGGGTGCTGGAATTGAACCTGGGTCTTCTGAAAGAGCAGCCAATGCTCTTAATCTCTGAGCCATCTCTCCAGCCCTTGTGTCCCAAAGTCATGCCCTAATAAAAATAGCAAGAAATTGTATTTAGTGGAATTTAATATTTTCCATGGTGACAAAGTAATCATTTTTATAGAAGCGGGATTCCTCCCTCTTGTTTCTTTTGTAGTTCATATAATGTAACGTGAACATAACTATCCAAGTACAGCTTTTTATTAGGGATAAAAATCAATGATTTTATTAAGTTTTATTCTTTGAAATTTAAAAGAAAACATGACTTTCCATCACCACCTCTGCTATGACTTTGCTATGTGCTTGGTCTCAGGACACATTTGTGTTTGGAGTTTTTTGTTTTGTTTTTTAACTTAATATACCTTGTGGGTGTCCTTCATTCCAACCTAGTGCATCTTTTTATTCCAGCACATTAATTTTAAAATGTGCTTACATCAGAGGTCAAGACTAGAGCAGCAGTTATACGATCATTTTCCAAAAGGGAATTTGATTTAGGTAAGCTTGACTCAATAAGAACCAAATATAAACGGTTTTTTTGTTTATAATGAAATGATCAGGTTTATGAGGCATCCTGGATCACACATCAAGAGATTGCGTCAAGCAACCAATTCAGCCGCAGGTGTGTCAAAATGTGGAGACCTTCTGGATGGTCAGGGAGTATTTATCTAAGGAGCAGTCATTGTTAATAAAGACACAGCGATGTGTTCATGATAAAAATAGCATGAAAAAAATACTATCCCTCACAGGCATGTTAAGAGGCCCATTTCAGGTGATTCTAGTCTGTCAGCTTGACAGTGAACACTAACTACCATAGCACTCTGTCCACATCTTTAGTTTGTTACTTATTTCACCATAGAATTGGGGTGGGGAGGGGGATACAGATGAACTTAGGTTTTAAAATTCAGTATTATTATTTCATTATCGTTCTAATCCCTGCTACTATCCAAATTATTCTAAATTTGGCCAATGGAAATCATCTCCTTCCCCCATGAGTTTGACACATCTCTATTATTACAGAGTTGTGTGTATCAAGACGTCAGCTTTTAGTCCTCCGGTATTGTTTGGATCCCCAGAAGTGAATCTTATATATGTAAGCCTCATTATCAGATATGTGCTTTCCTTCCCACTTTGTTAACTACCAATAAAAGAGCTATGGAAGGAAAGTCTCGTTGCAAATTAGTTCCAAAGGAAAATAGCATAGTTTCCACTGTTTAATTAAAACAGAGAGAGAATAAATTCATTCACTATAATAATAAGAAATGAGTATTATGAAAAAGACCTGGCACCCATAAAAACCAAAATGGGCCAGCAGCTCCAAGCAGATTGTGCAGTTCGGGTTGAGTTTCGGAGTCATTATTCACACTTCACCCATGGTGCTTTCGCTTTTTGTTTTATTTTATTTTCATAGCCAAGCGTTAGGTGTTGGATCACAGATCTGATAGCTTCGTTCCTTCCCCTCCCTCCTTCTGCCCCCGTCTTTGTTTCCCAGAATTCAGGCTGCAGCTGACAGATCCGTGCTATGGAGGTTAGAGCAGACAGATGAGGTGGGGCAGGAAGCAAGCCAACCCAGCCCACTCCCACACATGTCTGCAAGATCAATTGACGATTCTACCCAGTGCCGGTCTCCTTGGCACATAGGCTATGCCAGATTAAATAGCGTGGTGTAGAACACCATGCCGCACTCTCAAACTAAAAGTCGGAGGATCTCCTTTATCTGGGGGATTTCCCTGAAGGTTTGTGCTCTGCCTACTCCAGTTCTCCCTGTCCACGCCGCTGTAAGCGGAGGAGACCTTCTCTACTTTTCCACTTTAAGATGCCCCTCCTACTGCTGTCCCACCCCAAGGCCTGATCATGCCCCCTAGTGGTTGTGAGGCTTTCTCTCCAGTAAAGCACATTATGAAAAGGAATAGGTCTTGGCTTCCT